AATAGATTCATTACTATCAAGTACTATCAACTTCAACCAAACCAATACCTCAACTGAATTTCAGCCCTATAACTTCAGTAATTTTTGTCCAACATAGGGTGAATTGAGAATAACTGTTATTTATTTTGCATGAAGAAAAATTCAGGAAACCGAAACCAAAGTCTCCTGGAGGGAAATCAACTGCAAGAAAATGTTCTAAACACTCATAGAACTGACTATTTATTTGGAACAACCTGTTCTATTAATCATAGCAGAAACACAATAGATAATACTGCATCTTTCTGTAAGAAGTCTAATTCCACTTTTTGGTGAGAAAAATCGTGGATTCTGACATTTTTTTAGTTTTTGTATTAATTTTTCTTCAGACTCTCCAGATTGAGAAATTGTGATATTTCTCTTGAAGCGAAGCGAAGATTCGGAGCGAAGAAAAAATATTATTGTCTACCTTAAATGACATTTCAACCTCTCTTAAAATCAAGTGTTCGTTTCCTCAACAATAATTGGTCATCACAGAGGGACTCTGGGTAAATCCTAACATGCGATTTAATTGATTTCCAAGATGATTTGTTCATTTAAAAGTTGTATATGAAATTTGAGTAAATCATTGAAACGCTACATAGACTAATTTGAAATGTTTCGTTTCATTTATTAGCATGATTATGTAACTTTCATCCAAAATGATAGTTTACATGGTAAATGATCATTCTGTTCCTTTTCACAAAAAAATGTTAACATTATTTAAGCGTGAATTGAGTTGAAATATCGAGGATATCGATTGGGTTTTCGAGGTCAGTCGTGATGTTGACTGCATGACATATTTGAAGCTTATATTGTTTTTTGAATAATATTTGGTGAAAACATGTGATTTAAGAATCAGTTTTTGTATATTATTACAGACTATAAGTGACTATTATTATTAGTACTAGAATGTTCAGTAGACGATAATTTCAGAGTTTTTTGGTTGTTAATAAATCCGTTAATAAAACGGGTGCCTGTTTCGAAACTATGGAATGACGATGGTTAAATTTTTTTCGGAATCTGCGTTTCCTTTCTCTCTTCTAGTTTATTGTTTACTTTGCTTTCATACCTATACAATATTTCTGTCTCTTTTTTGCCAAAAACCTGCTTTCAAAATTATATCTTTCCACCGTATAGAATCTTTCAGTGTTTTTATATTTCACGACTCACTATGAATAGGTATGAAAAAAGAAAATTTTTCTCATTACCTTTTTACGTCTCTCCATTTTTAAAGTCAGAAAAACAAATTGTATTTACACTTTTTCTTCTACAACACACTATTTTTCGTTTTTTTGTGATGAGTTTACTGAAAAAATCTCAAAGTTTTATGCATATGGGATGAGTGTTTCCAATAAAACAAACTTGAACATTCCCGTTCCGTTAATTATAACAACATGGCTCATTGAGTTTTAATTACTAGCGCTTTAGTCATCACCGTTGCTCTTAAAGGCATACAGATCAGATAAGAAAACTACAAGTATAAAAAGCATTAGAGTCCAATAAAGAACAATTCTTTTGACTCGCTACAAGTAGAGATAGTATCAAATTCTCATTGCTCAACGTGATATATGAACAAAGCAGAAAGATTGAAAAAAATTACAATAATGGTCGTTTAGAAAGTAATTTAAATAATGCAATCAACAACACACGTCTCAATGACATCACCTCTATTTATGAATAATTTTTTTAATCTTAAATTGGCCCAGTTTGTAAGATCTAGGTAGGTGGAAATGAGGTAGGAGTAATTGGGTAACAGAGTGATAATTTAAAAGTTGGTCGAAAAGAAAGAAATGTTTGTCATTGTCGAGCTGATCGTACATAATGTATTTTTCTGAAGGGTTCTTTGACAATTATTTGAGTTTGGTTATACTCCTGGCCCTCGAATATTATACGTACTATAGAAAACCCTTTTTTTTTAGTTTAAACTGCCCATATATTTCTCAATGCACGCCAACACATTTCAATGTTCTTCAATTGATTATGTGATGCAGATTATTGCCACATCGAAGAAATAAGGTAACCCTTGATGATTCACCTTGAGAAGAATCAAATGACTGAGAAAGTAACTTCATTAGTTGTTTTGTCCCTTTTGGAGACAGATACTCTTCGTCATAAAATCATAGATTCCTATTATATTTTGTTATATAAAATATCGGTTATTATAAACTGGTGAAGAGTATACTAGGAAGTCACAGTTAAAACTGTTGTTGTTCAAATGGTTTACATACAGTAAAAGCTCCATTGAGGTTACTATGAACCAAAATTATTATGAACCAACAAGACTCTATAATAATAAAATCAAATGAAGAGCGCTCTTACTTTTTATATAAATTTAGAATATAAGTGGAGTTTTATTTCAACACCAACACCAAATCTTGAAGATTTAATCTTCCTCTTGAAGATGAACACTTGTTGATCGAAACACGCGTCGAGGTGTTAAAATAACGGTTTGGTGTTGGGATAAAACTCCAGTAATATTCGTTCTTACACCAAAGGTTCCAAACAGTGCATGACAAGTATAAATTTTGAATGAAAAATGCAGTAACAAAATGACTAAGATAAATTTTTAGGAAAAATATCATCATAACGATAACAACGGTGAGTTTGAGTATATTCGAAAGTGTTTTACTTTTCACTCCTTGCCAATCTCAATAATAAAAAAGAAACACAGGTATGTCTACTGTTGAGATTTGGAATTACCGAAGTGTCAATTTTCGTGTGAGAGAAATCAGAGAAGGGAATTATTTTCATTCAAACGAGCATTTCCGCAAATAAAATAATTTTTCTGATTTCTTTTATTTTTGGATCTCTAAAAATCGATAAAAGGTAAGCAATTTCAAATAAAAAGTATCTACAAAAATTATTTCATCAAGGTAAATGTAAAGTATGGCTAATCATTACAAATTTCTCTATGGTTACAATGCATGATTCCCGATTCTGTGTGCGGTGTTGCGAATTGTCTCACCAAGGTTAGTTATTGAAGTCGGCTGTGGTACATGACAACTATATTAAAATCCGTTTAAAATATGTTTTTCCGTTAACCAGCTGCCCCACCCCTACGAACGACAACCCTCAGAAGAAGAAACTTGTGCGAGATAAGAATTAACGAGGTCTTACCTTTTAACGTGTGATTCCTAACACGGGTTGGACGATAGCAAGTGAAAATCGATCGTTCAGACTGGAGCTTGAACCACCGATCAATACGGCAGGCGGTGGTTCAAGCCCCAGTCGATTTTCACTTGCTATCGTCCAACTCTGGAATACATCAGGAGGTGCAACGATTGAGTATTATGTCAATATTTCCAAAAGGTGGATTATAATTTACATGATCTACACACAACAAAACATGACAATGTTATATCTTATAAGTCACTTTATAACTGTAATAGAAGTATTCTTTAAACGACATATTTTTATGGAGGACTCAATATTTTATACTGTTTTTTTGCAAGACTGCATCCCTTGATTCCTTATATTTTTTCAGATTGTGGAAGGATATTAACCCCGAAAAAGAGTATAATATACTTAGAAGATAATAAGAAAGAATATATTTGCATTAAGCAGATATGTATGAAGAATTATTGAATTGAAAAAATGTGATCCCACCGGGATTCGAACCAGAATAACTTATTCTCTATCACCAATTATGCTATCAGAGTCACCAAAATCACATACACAATTTCCTTTTTAGTGGTTCTGCTCGGTGAGTGACTCTGATAGTATAGCTGGTAAGTGTGTCTATCTAGAGAACAAAAGAGCCCGATTCGAATCTCTCGTTCATGCTACATTTTTCAATTAATTGTTTCTTCATTATTGTTTGCCTAACTCAAATATTTCCTTTTGTATTTACAATACAGGTGTTATAGCTTCTTCATTTGTTTTTCGTTTTGGCTTATTTCATGTATCGGGATTTATTTTGAAAATTTCTGATGATACTACTAAATATTTCTATAAGGAACTAACAAATTGATCTCCGGATGCAGGAAGTTTAGTTGTTAATCATCATAATTAACAAATTTTATTCTATCTGCATTGGCACCGTGAAAGATTGAACTGAAGTTGTGATTCGACAGTCCCTCTTCTCAGTTATTCTGATAGCCTAGTTGGTAAATATGTCTATTTAGAGAACAATATAGAGCCAGATTCGAAATTCGGTCGGGTCACTTTTTTTCAATTTAGGGTTTTTATATGTGTCTGCATACCACTTATCTAATCTTTCGTATTTATATTACAGTCGCCAACTTCTCTCGTGTTCGAAGATAATAGTGGGGATAACAAGCTTTGAACATAATATTCATTATTTGGAAGTGGTTGACAAAGTTTTATTGTGAGTTCTACTAGTTTGGACTTTCATTGTCTAATATGATTCGAAATCTATGAAAGAACAAATTAAATTACAATAAAAAGAATATTCCTGAACCAGCTGTTAGGAGTACCAAAATTTTTGGTACAGAATCAGGGTGGAAATTGGGTCTATAAGAAACATAGAGGATACTGGTAAAACATACCTGGGAACCACATACCGTTCATAAAGGGACCGCCTGAGAAGAGAACTGAAGAACTTCAATGAAGCAGTGATCGGCTCAAAACAATTACAGGCCTTCTCACTGCACACTGTTCATTGAAAGGACACCTGAATAAAATAGAGCTGTACAACAGAGACCCTAACTGCAGGCAATTGAAAAAAGGGACAGAGTGAGCTCGTCATATTTTATGCGAACGTGAAGCACTGGATCACAAGACGTCAACAATTTACTAACAACCCAAATGTCTGAAGAATATGACATACATCTAGTAAGAGATCTGTGCAAACTAATACTGGACCAAACTTGTTGAAACTTTGTCGAGAAAATGAGAAAAACACAATAAGCTCATGAGGCTGCAGTGTTCTTCGAAGAATTGGGAGAAAAGTCAGACGGCTCCCAAATAGTAGAAAAAAAATCATCAGCGGAGTTGAATAATAAAGACATATTTTCACTTACCGGCTCGGAAAATTTCATGGCACCCATCGCATCTGGAGGCGAATTGTTGATCATAACAACTTCCGCAATAGATCCTATCACCTTTGGATCCAAACTGCTTGTCTACCAAGGATTCTCCGCAAGTGGTGCATAGGAAGCAAGCCTCGTGCCAATGCTTGTCTTTGTACGACAAATCCTGAAAGAATTTTGATATTAAGAGTTTTGAGTGGTTACTACGCAACGAAAATAATAATCGTACCATGTGATAAAGTAGTGCAAAAAGGAGAGTTTGTAGACATCTATTTCAACAGTATGGATAGGTTTATATAATAGTTGAAAATATCATTCTCTACTTCGTTCAATTGAAATAGCAAATGATTATTGGTTTTGAAAGTTTACATGATTTATGTTCTCTCAAACTATTCTTATCTTCACAACATTCTTTGATGTTTTCATGCAATGAAACAATTTCATCAGTACCGAATATCTACTGAATAAATTTAGAAGCATTGTTCGGTTCAGACAGTGGTGAGATTCTAGATTAGATTCAATTTTCATTAATTGAATCTCTCAATAGTTTATAGGTTTATATATTAGTTGAAAATATCATTCTCTACTTCGTTCAATTGAAATAGCAAATGATTATTGGTTTTGAAAGTTTACATGATTTATGTTCTCTCAAACTATTCTTATCTTCACAACATTCTTTGATGTTTTCATGCAATGAAACAATTTCATCAGTACCGAATATCTACTGAATAAATTTAGAAGCATTGTTCGGTTCAGACAGTGGTGAGATTCTAGATTAGATTCAATTTTCATTAATTGAATCTCTCAATAGTTTAAAGCTTCAAAGTGAGATTATTTGTTGGCAAATCTCAGATTCATATTCAGTATGACAAAATGTATTTAATTTCAATACTTCGAAATTAAATAAGATTTTGGATGCGATTATCCTAAACTTCAACTTCTGAGGTAACTGAGGTTACTTTAGACAGTCAATGCATATATTATTCGTTCTTTAATGAAGCAACTTCCTAACGACAAACAATGGTTCAGCAAAAGTTGCGAGAAAGCTGTCGCCTCTTCAAATATCTACTTTCGATAGTGGTGAACAAATTGCAGTGCCGAAAATAGTATCAAGGTTGATAATGTTCGCAATAAGCGCAACTTAAAAGGTGCAACACTAGAAAATTAGGAATGAACTGCACAATTCCAATTAGTAACTTAAGTGAGTGGTTCAATAGCCACAACAGCATCAGAAGTGAGTTTATTTGGTGAATAATTTGCATATCCCATTCCACAATTGTTTTTCAGAGAAAAACATAACCCCATATTACAACTAGGTGTGTTCGGTTTTGAAAATCCGTAACCGTGAGAGCAGATAGATTTGATACCATGTGATCACACAATTGATAGGGCGAAATAAATATGTCCAACCAAGCAACAGTGCAGGTGAATTTAGAGGAAGTGTAGGGACACAAATTATCAGTTTCTTTAGCCGTATCACTACTTGACATTTTGAAAATTTTAAACTTTAAAATACTGTTCATGTACACATCACAGGCGTTAAAACGTAACTGACCACTCTGTCCGACACTGTAACAATTATTCCGGCAGCCGATTGCAGTTAAATCTGATTTACCAGCGTGATCGTTCTTTGATCACGCATCTATCATTGTTTCCAAATAAATGCAGACTAGTTACTTTATCGTAATTAATAATGAAAATTATGGAGGATGCTGATAGCCAAGACTTGAATATTGATGAATGTTGATGAATATCAACAGGCGACCTTCTCACTGTGTCATCAACCTTTGGAACAATACCAGTGAGAAACACTATCGATTTGTTGTATTTGATGAAATCAAGACGTTTGGCCGTGTGGGTGAACATCAGACGCCAACAAGAAGAAGTTTTGAATTTAAAGGAAGATCTGGAGGAAATTTCGATTTGGGGAGAGAGTAACCAAGTAGAATTTAATGCCAAGAACACCCAGGCATACATTTTCTATAAGAAGTCCTGGAAAAATCAAAGATAATTATGTCAAGTCACACATATTTGCCTCCTACGTCGATAAAGTCGTTTGGTAGCAAATTGTTATCACAAGAATCTTTGAAACATCAAATGAATGACGGGTTCTTGCCTTTTTTTTTCTGGAAAATTTCGGAAAGAATTTGACTGACTAAGCCCACTTCATTACACTGAAAGCAATATATGTCTGAATCATGCAGCAATCAACGGCTGCCATCGTTCTGATGTTCAGTTTAATAAAACTCGAAATGAACTTTAAAATCTGTTTCATTTTCAGAACGGCGCTCTCGTGACGTAAATACTGCCGAGACAGTTTTTTTAAAGTAATATATTTTAAAAATATCAAAATCTGACGTGATTCGCCACATCCTATTGAAATAACATATTCACAATAACAACAAGTATATCATGATTTATCACTTCCAAAAATATCAATATATTCATAATTGGGAAGAAAAACTCTACTACTATATTTAAAATTCCTTTACAAACGACTCAGCGATAATTTTTTCTTGTACTTTCTGATAATAATTACCTTCGAGTCGATACCAATAGTCCTGCTGCATTTTTCGCAAGCGTTTGAGAACACAGACTCGTAGCAGGATACGCAGTAAGGATGTTCGTCTCGCAGGACGTAACGTTGTCCTGTCAAACTCTCGTCGCACTGCCAGCAGCAGAAGTGTTGGCCGTGCCAGTCCTTGTTCATGGCCTTGGTATATTCTCCGCTGAAAATGAGCTGAAAACAAAAAAATGTGAAAATGTAAATTGTTTGAAAACGTTGCTTTGCAAATATTTTGGATTTCCAAATGTACCTTCATTTATTTTTCAAAAGAACTGTGATTTTTTATTCAAAATTTCCGATTCTTCATTTCATTCAACTGACTTGAATATTTTAATACAATTATCAATAAATCTTATCCAGATCCTCTTTTGAAGAAGATCTTATTCAGTACGTCTACCATTGACGTTCAAGTTAATAATAATAACCAGTGTGATATAAATGGTACTAATTCACCTTGTTCCCTTCCTTACCGTACATCAATAATGTATGACGAAATTCCTGTCTTCTTGGTTAAAAAATATTTAGTACTATCATAGAAACGTTAACCTTTTTGGTGAATCTATCATTTTCAAACAGCAGCTTCCCATCAAAGATGAAGGTGGGTAAAGTATGTTCCATTAAAAAAATAAAAAAATTATCAATATTAGAAAATTTCAGTTACTATTCCTCCAACTTTCTCGAAGATTTTTGAGTGTGCATTTTTAGAACGCCTGAATGATTTTATCGGATCACACAATATTCTGACTCTGACTTGATTGAATTTATTGACTCAGGCGAGTGTCCAGCTGTAGTTCTATGACACTTGAGCAAGTCTTTTGACTGTGTTAATCATACCCAAGCTATTAGATATTCTGGATCGTTATGGAATAAGAGGACATTCACATTCTTAAGTTTCATCTTTTCTCAGCAACAGAATGCAGTGTGTCTCGCTCAAATTTGATGTCTTCAACATCAGAAATGATGGAAGTACCCTAGGGATCTATACTTGGGCCACTCTTATTCCTATTATATATCAATGATATTGACAGGAAAATACCATATTCTGCAGTAACTGCTTATGCAGATGATATTAGTTTGGTGATATCTGCAAAAGCGACAAATGAATTAACACGAAAATGTGAATATACTCTGAATGTAGTTTCAAACTATTTCAATACTCACGACCTGTTTTTCAATGTAAAAAAAACTCAGTCAATCCGCTTTCACAACTATCAAAATGAAACCGATGATATTCAGGTGACTGTTAATGACTCTACTTTGAGAAACACCCATAATTCTGTTAAATTCCGAGGCATTCAAATGGATGAGAGTATGTGATCAACTAGTGATCAACTAGTTTCAAAATTTGGCTCTATAACCTATCTTTCCTCGACAGTATTCATGCAGAAACATTTTCGTTACACACGAAATTTCAACTCTGGTTGGAATATATATTTATGAGTTGTCAGTTTTCACTAACAGAAATGACTTTTCATTCTCAATAGCGATATTTATGATAAAAACACTCGGTAGAAGCAAATGATACACGTTAGATCGGCAAGATAACTCAAAGTGCACCAAAACGTATAGGACCCTGAATTTACAATTGTTTACCAAATACATTGATCAGTTGATTGGAATAGGGAATTCCAATTCAATACGAGTAATGACAAAACAAGAATATTGAAAAATCAACACTTTTATGTGAACAAAATAGTTCCCACTGAATTTTCATTGTTTTAAAGTTTGCAGTTAAATGTCATTTCGAATATATTCACAAGTATTCAAAAATATTTATTATTCGCGTTCATGAGGTGCATGAGTCAGTCCTCTCCTTCTCTATCTTGGGTCACTATTTTTTGTGCTTCCTAGCTGACTTCGTAATCTGTTTCCACATTGTTCCTATTTCTTCTTTTAGATTGTTTAATTTTCAGTGCTTTTAGGATCTTTTTTTCTATGTCGTTCCTCCATCGTCGTGTTCTCAGTCATTCTTGAGTTCTTCTTTGGATTGGTGTCCATCTTGTGATGTTTTTGTGTTGCTTTTCGTCTTCTTTTTCGTCTAGGATGATATCATGTCCTAGAGTTGTTCTCATTATTTTTGTTTCTAATTTGTAAGGGATATATTTTTATGAGAGATTAATTTTTGGGAAAGGAAGATTTTGACTTTATACTTCTCCATCTTTATACAAAAATGTGAGAATATTAAAAAAAATTAAAAACCATTTATTTCAATATCAACTCTTTACAATATGTGTAGATCATGTAAAGAAGTAACTTTCAAAGACAAACTGAAAGAAAAAGTCCTCTCGAAACAGTTACTGTCATATAAACATTGAATTACACAAAAAAAACTTTCGAAACAACTACTTCTATATGAACATTGAATTACACAAAAAACACTTTTTTCCTTTCAGTTCGGAAATACAAAACATTCAATGTAAGTGAAATTTCACCTCTTTCTTATACTATACTGTGTAGCAATTCTGTTAATGTTATGTGATTGAATTTCATAACGAATGTTTGGAGGGAGTACAAACTGGATAAGAAAAAGTGTTTTTTGTATAATTCAATGTTCATATAGAAGTAGTTGTTTCGAAAGTACTTTTTTTTCATTTAAGTCAATGTTTATTTGAAAGCAGTTGTTTCGAGAGGGTTTTTTCTTCCATTTTGTGTCTGGAAGTTACTTTTTTGCATGATCTACACATCTTTGTGAAGACTTGATTTTAAAATTGATTGCTTTTTTCATTTCTTTGGAAGTTCCCACATTTTTTGTGTAAAGATGGAGAAGTAGAAAGCAAAAACCTTTCATTTCTAGTTTTCAGTTTTTTTTTCTCT